CGACGCTATTTTTTTTAACAATACTGACAACCCCTCATTTATAGCTGGAATTATCACTCTGCTCATTAAATCAATCTGAAACAATGTGGTTTCAGATATCACAATAACTAGTTTTTAAATAATCACCTAAATTAGTTCTGGATGGTATTATTCGACTTATTTTTCGACAAATGGAGGATACTTATCGATGTAGCCATCTAAGCTTTCCTCGAAGTCGAAGGAAGCAAATTATGCTGCCGAAAGGCCGAGGAGGAGGCTACTGCCATGGCCCATAGACTAGACCCCCTAGATAAGGCACAAATGAGGAGTTTGAAGAACTCACAAAACCAAAACGAAGAGTTGAAAAAATAACTAGTTAATTAAGTGGCCCCTCTCTTCGCTAGAACTTCGTCTCCAGGCCCTCCTCCTCGGAAATCACAACGACGTTGGGACTGTAAGAAGAGCACCTCCGAATCAACCGCATCAGCTGTGGCATGTAAATGCAACTGGGAGGATATTGGAACTCAGTGTCACTGACCCCCTTGAAAATTTCACAGAATCTGGAGTTTTGTCCTGTTAGGACACGGTGTTGGGGACGAAGGGGTGTACTGGCCATCATGAGTGTCAACCGCTAGCCGTAGGAACACAGGCCTAAGCACACACTTAACTAAGGACAGTCTTTTAAATAATTTCGTAAGAATGACTTATTGCTATTTTTTTCCTTATTGCCACTTTGTTCCAGCCGTAGTGCTGCTCAGACATATCTACAAATGTTTTATCCAGCCAGTAGAGAGTTGGAGGTGTCGCTTGTTCACTTCAGTGGTACCTTCATACAGGTAACGTAGACAGCTCCATAACCAAGTTTTTAATAAATTTCACTTCCACGTCTACTGCCTTTTCGCATTCTATCTTATTTGTGGCTTCTATCAATCATGATGAAACCGTCTCAGTTTTGCTTCTCATCTACCCACAGAATCATCTGCGAATCATGCAGACGCTGACTGTTTAGCGTGCCATCCGAACTCATCGTGACGACGGGGGTTCTATCTACGGATTAGACGGTACCATCCCCCTAGATCAGATCATTCATCACTTCCGTGGAAATCCCCGTCTATTCCTCGTCGGAAAATTAAAAAGAGTTTTCCAGATCCCGAGTCGGATTACGTAATCATGAGGATCTTTGGACGCCTGCACTTAATTAGTTGGCATTTTCGATGAATTCCATCCTGGTTTGGCTTTTTACACAAACCCAGCCAAGTAATCTTTGCTAATGATTAATCTTAATTCCTCCATAAATAAGGGTGCTGATGCCAAAAAATAACAGTTGTTAACGTACGCAAACCTCTTACTCCCTTGTCTGATTCGGCGTTAATTAATCTGGCCTTTACGAAAATTCCATAGGCATATCTTATAAAGCATCTTCAAGGGCTTCTTCAGACTGTTATCGTGTATTCTAGGCAAATGTGTTAGCGTTTTCAAGGCACAGCGATAATTCGCTGTTATATTTCAAGGCCATTAATGGCGTTTCGCCACGATTGTTTTTTTTTATCACCCCCTCGGGCGTTGTTGACCTGCTTCGTGATAAAATAGATTAAGCATTGCACACCCCTGGGTCGTGTAGCGTAACATCTGTTCTTGGCCTGTGCTTTCGAGGTTTTGTACGTGTTTCGTCAAATTTGATGCCCTCTCAACCACATTCAGGGTTATTCATGAACTCCCTCATACTTTTGGTGCAAACTTTTCCTTCTTCACCGACGAGTGCAAAATCCCACACCACCTGAAGTGGGTCGGTCGTCGCAGTTATCAGTCATTGGAGCTCAGCAGTTATGTTAATTTCATAAGGCAGATTATCATAATATGCGTCTACAGACATGTCTCCACACATAGATCCCTGCGTACTCTAGCCTAATGTCTAAGGCCATCATTATGCTAACTGGCACCTCCATCTTTTGGCAGCCCATGTGAACTCGCATTCGGTTGGTTAAGAACATGTTTGTGTGTGTGCGTGTGACCGTGCGTGTGGAGGTGTGGATGTAGATGTCTTCGAACCACCCAACACCCACTGATTCTCTGTGTACACGCAATGTGCTCTCAGCTTTCTCCTTGAATTTGAAAGTCGGCAAGTCTTTGGGTGAGCGTAAATAAACCATCTGCAAGCACTGCCTCAGTTGTGGACGTGTAGGTGACCTTCTCATGCTTGTCAAAAAGGCCTTTGTAACCGCTTTCACCCGGTTGTTTGTCGATGGGCATTGCAACTGTCGAATGCAGGTTCCATTGGGTCAGGGCACACTCACCTCTGATCAGTAGTGGTGTTATTACTTATTTTAATTTTCGAAATTTTGTAGAATTTTTTGATAAGATCAAGTATGAATGGCTGATATCACCTTTTGGTGATCAGGCTCGAGAGGAAAGCTCGCCTTACAATTTATTTGCTTACCCTATTCAAGGGCATTCGAGACGGACAGGCAAGCAGGCAAAACGTGTGATGCGGAATTTCGCCCGTTGTGAGTAGTATTTCTGCAGAGCGATGGGCTAGAATGTGGTCGCCAAAGGTAGATGTCAATTTTATTCCCTCTGTTAGGGGTCGTTGCATATTTCCCTATTCGCAGGCTGTGCACCTCCTCCATCACCTTGAAGCTTAGCATTTAGCGATAACGATCAAAGAATTTATCCTTCAGGATCAGTTTCTCTTTCCACTGTTGCCAGTGTATTGCCCGAGTATTCTTAGATGAAAGTAGGCCTAATGTTGGGGCGGAATATGTATTGCCGACGTACATAAGGGCTGGGGGCCATTAGCATGGTCAGAATGCCACGCTGTCCAAGGAAAATAAAAAGACCGAGCTTTCAGTGCTTGAAAAGCCAAAAAGGATAGTTAAACACACGATCAAATTAATACATTAAAGTTCTTGAAAGACAGCTGATTCGCATTCAAGAGGGAAAGACCGATTAATTTTGTGATCTGTAAATATAACTTAAGTTTACTATGAGAACCAGAAATGCCTAAAAAGTGATTTAAACTTATAAAAAAATTGGTCCGCACAATTTGTGTATGATCTCCCTAGAGGGACTTAAACCTAACTCGTGCACACAGCAATAGCTTCTCAAAGAACTGCATAAAATGCTTCAAACTAGGTTATGTTCATTGTTTCTGAATTTATTTTAGCTTGCCAATCCAGTCGCTACATCACTTTTGAATAGTTTGCTTATGTAGACAGAGGTGACCTTGTGAAAACAAAAAAAAATACTGATTCATTGTTTTTAGCTAACAATGAGGGGCCGCTGCTTTTATCATTTAATTTCTAAACGACCCGCCGCCACAGACTTTCATACACTTCTATTGCTTTGAACTAGTAGGGTTTTTCGGATTCTGCTTCCAAAGTGCTCTGAAATCAAAATTGTTTGCTGGTGCAAGCTTATTGTAGGAGGGAGTGGAAGTGTTGTCTTGACATGAAAAGGCATTTTAGCGGTGCCCTAAGGTGTTAGCATAATTCAGCCTCAAGCTTTGGTTTGTATTACTCTACCTTTGTGCGAGTTAGGATTGCCTTACATTTCAGCAGACCAGGATGTGGAATCCAGGGTACTGGGTCTTGCTATCGCAGCACCACTCGAGACCTAGTGCCTTATTCTTTGTGTTCTACCTCAATCAATCGTAATCCCCACTTGGGCGGAATAATGGCACTGTTGGTGGGTGGAAATTTCATTTACATTATCTACCTAGCAATGCTCATACCTCAGTCTTGAAATAACACCTCGGAAAATGCAGATTTGCCAAAAAGAACGAGACATTTTAGGCCTGCTTGCCTTATCTTCCCGTCTTGTCCTACAGGATGATTATGTGTTGATGAGGCGGTCCACTGACCAGCTGAAAACTTTCAGGGATGATGACTGTAGGGTAAGGAGTCTCCCTGACATGCAGACGCGCAGCCTACTTTGGGAAGTTCACGCCATCCGTCTGGAGTTCAGCTGAGCATCTCATCACCGTATCGTGTTGTACTGTAATGCATTTGAATTCCACCTCTGTAGATGCAAATAAATGCCAACGAAGGCTGCGCTTTCATTCGCATAAAGTCTCCTTCCTTACCACAGGCTACCTGTGCTATGAATACGTTTACCACCGCTGTTGCCTGCCATCGTGACTAGCGGCTCCTGGACTGGCTGACATAATGTTAGGGCACACTTATCGCCCACCTCTGCGTGTACTTTTATAACTGTCAAGGTAAAAATCCCGATTGGTTTGTGTTTTCTTCAAACTTTCCTCCAGTTTCTAGCATCTTGATTAGCTCGTAAAGTGTTCATATTGAAATCTGAGCTTCCTCAATGGGTGGGCAAGCTGGCGTCCATTGAAAGTCAACCTTATGATATTGAACAACACCTTTTCTCACTTTCTGGTCACCCCATTTAATTAATTTCCCAAAGCACGTTTCTCGGACTGTGCCACAGACCAAATACACTCTCATCGTTCGCTTCTTTACGTGGAAAGCGTCGTAAAGCAAGTTTAAAGTTCTTAAAGAAGAGAGCAGGAAGCGAGTGTATTCATTGAAACCTAAGTTATGCCTGTTAAGCTCGAAAGGGGGTGCGTTCGGCAACTTGTGTGAATGAGTTTGAGGGCAAAATACGATGCCTGCTAGGCACAGTCTTATTCAAAATAAGTGAAATTATTCTGTTGCACCCCAAATCCGTTCTGAAGACTCGGCAGATGTAGAGAAGAACGGGGTGCTACTGGCATCGACTGTAGGCCATGCCGACCAGTGGAGGCACAATCACGGAGACTTAAGTGCCAGAGTAACCAAAACGACGAGTTAAAGAGAGGGCTGAAGTGTTACATAATTGTGTACGAGACAGTCAACGAATGTCAAAATGGCGAGTTAAACAAATAATCAGGTATTACACACTCGTGAATGAGTCATCAAAGTTGTCAAAAACAGCGGTCTCCAAGCTTATCTTAAGATATCAAGGCTTCACGTTTTTTGAGTGCAGCTTTATCTTGGCCACACAGGTCGTCAAAATAAAAAAAAAACCTTAAAACAAATTAGTTCTTCCTGAGCTTAATAGGCATAGCTTTGGTCTTGATGAAGTTGCGTTATTAATAATTTCGGACTTACTTAGGCACTTTTTAGTTTAACGAGACAAGCAATACGAGTGAATTTGGTCTGTAGCACTGTTTGAGAAACATGTTTCAATAAAATGAATTCGGTGGCTGATCAGCATGTAGGAAGTAAGCTATCACTCTAACCTTGACTTCCAATGGGGTCAACTCGTTTGCTAAACGAGGAAGCTTGGAAGTCACTACAAACTCTTAGGCATTTGAATAACTAATCACGATGCTTGTAGTTGAGGGAAATTGCGATGGAAGTACGGGCCCAACCGCAACTTCTAGTTCGACAGTAATAAAAATGAATACTACTTTAGCGGTACTGAGCGTAGAGGTGAGCAACAAGTGTAACCTAGTCCTCTTGCCCACCAGTCCAGGAGCCGTCGGACACGATGACAGGCAACAGTGGTGATTTGTGTGTCCATGTCACAGGCAGTGGGCGGTAATGAAAGGGAACCTATGGAGAAAAAGGAGCAACATAAAATAAGAATTCAAGCAGAGTACGGTACAATATGACACGGATATAGGGTGTTCAGCTGCGTGACATCTAAATGGCAAACTTTCCAAAGCATGTCTGTATGCATGTCAGTGGGGATCATGGTCGTACCGCCATCATCCTCGCAGGCATTCAGCCAGCCAGTGGAGCCCTTAATCAACACAACCTGTGGGGAAATCGGCAAAAAATAAAATTATCCTGTAGGACAGTAGAGGAGGTCAAGACAGGTTGGCAAATCTTCCTCTGATATTTAGGTATTACTTGAAAACTGGGGAACGGACATTGCCAGGTAGACATGTAAATGTAATTTCCACCGAACAACGTTGTCACCGTCGTACCCAAGTGATCAGTACCATCCTGCTTGGCTAAAATGTGAGGCTACTCTGACTCATACACAGGCACAGTAATCAAAGGCAAAAGTTAAAGCTGCTTTAAGGGAGCACTCTGAAACACCGCCATCGTGCCATTTTGCACCTCGGATGGTAAACATGAGTTATCAGCATAAACAATTTTGTTTTGTACGCTTTGGTGGAGGAATTCAAAGAAGCCCATTAATTCATTGGCAGGAACATACACTCAAGTGTGTGACGGTAGGGCCTTCTACGCCTGAATGAACGACGCAGCACCTTATCACTATTTGATGGAAATAAGGAATAAGCAGAACTTATTTTTTGTAAAGCCTCCTCTGTCTATGCAAGTGAAGTGTTCGAAACGAATATAACAAACGGATTAGTAAGCTAAGAGCATTCCAGATGCAATGAACGAGAACTAATCTTTCGAGAAGCCGTTGCTGTGTGCTCGAGTTAGGTTTACGGCTTTCTAAAGACATACCACTCATGTGGGTGACAACGTTGGTCTCAGTTTATGCCCAAATTGCTTTGTGGACTTTTACGGTCCTCTTAACAACTCAGGAAACATTTCCATTTCGAAGCACAATTCGATCATCCTGCCTTGAATACAAAAGAGCACAGTCTGAAGGACTTGAACTCCACAAAGATCCTTTAAGAAGAAGAGGTGGGCAGCGTCA